CCCTGCAAATCAAAACAAATTTGAAAACCACATCCTGTATCGAGAACCCAAGAAATAGCATGCGATGAGTTATTAGATTGAATAGTATAAGTACCTGCGTAGGATGGTTTTATCTTTCCATCCTTGATGTCCTACAGATACTTCGGGGAGCTTAGTTTCCAATGCCCTTTGTCATGGCAGTAGTAGCACTCTGCATCCTTCGGGTTGGAGGAGGACGCAGCTGAACCAGCCTTGGTTCCACTAGATGAGGTGCCATCTTGAGACTTTCCCTTGTGGTGGCTCTTGGAAGGAGCCTTCCTCTTCTTACCCTTCCCCTGCCTAATAGCCAAGACTGGGGCAGCAACAGTAGGAGTTGATGCAACAGATTTGTCCTTGAGGTTGCTCTCAACAGTCCTCAACAGGCCTTGAATCTTGCTCAAAGTGACCTCCTCCTTGTTCATGTCATCGAAGTTAACATTTAACTTCAGCATGCGGTTGACATATCTCTGCATTTTCTGCAGGTGGGCCGTGACGGACTCTCCGTCCCTCATCTTGGTAGTGATCATCGAAGTGAGAATCTCGTACCTCTCCTGCCTGGCACTTTGGTGGTACCTGTCCAGTAAATCCTGATGCATCTCATAGGGGTAGAAGTCCTCGTAGGACTTTTGGAGTTTGGCAGTCATAGTCGCGAGCATGATGCAATGGACTTTCCTACCATCGCACTCATGAGCCTCAAAGGCGGCGATCTCCTTAGGAGTAGCAGTGTTGACATTCACTTCTTTCAACTCCTTGTCAAGGATATACTCCTTGTCCTCGTAGCGGGTAACCATTCGAATGTTGCGGATCCAATCATTGAAATCGGTCCCATCGAAAATCACCCTCCCACACAAATTCATGAGTGAGAATGAGTCGGAAGAGTTCGAGCTAGAAGCGTTGTTGTTGTTTGAAGTAGACATCTGAAAAAGAAGAGAGACAAAGTTTGATTAGATAAGAATCCCCAATTAAACACCCAAATGAGAAATTAGGGCTAGGATCTAACAACATTATTCATAATTTAGAAGAGGGATTTCGTAATCTAAATTGCAAATAATTTAAAGGTAAGTGAATAACGATTCACTAATTTCCACCATGAAAAACAAAACAGAAAATTAAGTTTTAAATGTATTGAAACTCATAGATCGTTTGAGATTCATTGAACTTTTCAATGGCATGTTTAAATCTCAATATGCCCTTCAAGTTTGTGACTAGGATATCGAGGATCGCAAACAAGGTGTGAATAACCATGCAAATGTACTTGATGCCCTCAATGTTATAGTCACCCAATCAATATGTCGGTTAACCACACACGCTCCATTGATCTATGACAAACATCGAGTCACCCTTTGCCCCCTTTTCTAGACCCAAATTAGTGTGCCTGTAACCACACACGCTCCACTAACGTCTTGGCAAGGGTACAAAGTGTAATTTCATGGAATAGCATCATTTTCACATTTTTTCTAAAGTAACTAATATTGGGAATTTTATAAAAATATTTAGTTACTTTATTAACCATTATACTTTTAATGAGGAATTAGTTTCCCTATCCTATCCGTTCGGCTAACGACCGTCCACCAATCAAGGAAGCGGTGGGTGAGAGTGGACACCCATTAAACTGTCATTTTACAGGCAACAACCTTATACCCCCCCCCCCCCCTTATAGATCGGCTTCGTGATAGAGGCCTACTAACGGTAAGACTAGCATTAATCTTATACATATATATAATCATTATTCTTATAATATTATAATAGTATAAGGGTTGAATTTTAAACTTGTAAAATTCTAGGGTTTAGAATTTAAATATTTCAAAATTAAACTTTCTAATCAAAATTTAAATTCCAAAACTTGAGGGCAAGTTTTGAAACTTTTCAAAACTTTCTAGATCAAAATTCAAATAATTTAATTAAACAATTAATTTGTGATTATCTAATTTTCACCTAATCTAACTCCATGGCAAGATAATTCTTTCAAATAATTCAAATAATTCAAATAATTAAAGTTTATCATATAAGTTAATAATTAACTAATAAATGACAATTATCTTCTATTTTGATAAGGATAATCACATCATATTAATAAAATTCGGGAAGTTGGATTTTCCTCTAGAGGTCGCCCAGTGTACTGAGTACGCCCAGTGTACTGAGTACGCCCAGCGTACTCCGAAGGTACGCCCCGCGTATGCGCAACCTCCAGCCTATAAATAGATGCGCAATTCTTCATTCTTCTTCACACCTTTCCCATTATTTCTCTCTCAATTACCTCTCTTAGCCCCTCCCATTCCCTAGCACTTCCCAAGTGCAAGAGGCGAGTCCCGGAGCGCCAGAAGGCTCCGAGAAGAAGAGCTTTCGGCTCAAAAGTTCTGCCCCTGCAGAGCTCGACTCCTAGCTAAACCCCCTTGTAAGTGAGTTATGCTTACCCTACTTTAAGTATAACTTATGTTTAAGTTCATTATCGTTATTATGAACCTATAAACAATATATATGCAAAGTATTATAAATTATACAAAGTGTTATTATAATACCTTTTAACTGCTCGCGGTACGGGGAATCTGGTTTGAAGGGTCGCATAGGGTTGTTGGATTTCAGAACAGCTTAAATGCCAAAATGGTCCTGCCCTCCGGTGTTTCATGTCTAGCCCCTGTCTATACATAGTAGTTGAAAAGTATTGTTTAACACTTATAAAACAATATAGCTCGTAGACCTTGAGTTAATAATTAGTCGCAATAAATATTAGACTAAAATCTAGTGATAATGATACTAGGTTTCGTCGAAGGAAAATAAAATTGTTAGAAGCGAAGCGCTGCCCGAGTTTGGAGTCGTCGGTTTAACAAGTGAGTTCATAGTTTCTTTCATGAACATGATTTTAATACAAGTATTAAATATATGTTTATGTGTGAAATATTTGATATTGCCTTAAATACGTGTTAAGAGCATTTCTGACGATATATAATGATTTAGGATACATAGTAAACCTAAATTAATTAAGATGAATATTGGGTAGTATCTACTTATGAGTACGAGTGAGATATACACGGAGGGTAGAACTTTAAAATTTGTCATTAATCCGAGAGTATGGATTAGACATAGTCATTCGTCCCTAGTCCGAGAGTATGGAGTGGGCATATTCATTTGTCATTGATCCAAGAGCATGGATTAGACATACCTGATCCGGGAGTATAAATTAGGTAAAGCTGTTAATTTTATATTCGAGAATATGTAGTGTGTCGTTGTGAGGATCGACGGGGTGGGGTAAAATTGCTTATATGAGGTGAAATTATATATATTATGAGTTCATATATATATATATATATATATATATATATTATATATATATGTATATATAACATTGTGGGATTGAAATCCCTATGTACTCACCAGGTTTCCCAACATGACTCACTCAGTTTATTTGTATCACAAGTGTCGATACGCAGCTACATTACACTGAGAGATTAACGGAGTAGATCATTAGTGTAAATGAATGTAAGGTCTGTTTATGCTTATGTTTCTGTATTGACGATGACATCCCAAAGTTTTAATATAAACAAAATACATTTATTCGAAAATGTTTTGATAATATCTTTATCATGTTTTCTGGGAACAAATTCCGCAATATCATTCTTTAAAACGGATACTTTGATTTTTAAATAAGCATAAATAAAATTTTTAAAATGACGTTGAATTTGGGGATGTCACAGAGTTAGTGATTCAGGGAGAGGGTGTTCAACATGGATCGACTCTCTGTTCAGTGGCTAGGGTCAGACGTTATCTTCAACATGGTTGTTCTGGATTTGTGGCTTATGTGATGGATACCCGAGAGAAGGGTAAGGTGTATGTGGGTGATGTACCGATTGTTTAGGAGTACCCGAAGGTGTTCCCGGGGGATTTTCCTGGAGTACCTGCGGAGAGGCAAGTGAAGTTTCAGATTGACTTGGTTCCAGGTGTGGCTCTGATAGCCAAAGCACCTTATCGGTTAGCACCTCCAGAGATGCAAGAGTTGTCTACACAACTGTAGGAGTTGTTGGACAAGGGATTTATTCGGCCGAGTAGTTCACCAAGGGGAGCGCCGATATTTTTTGTGACGAAAAAGGATGGGTCGCATCTGATGTGCATCGACAACCGAGAGTTGAATAAGCTAACGGTGATGAACCGTTATCTGCTCCTGAGGATCGACGATTTATTTGACCAGCTTCAGGGTGCATCTTGTTTTCCAATATTGATTTGCGTTCGTGTTATCACCAGATGAGGTTCGGAAAGGAGGATATACATAAGACGGCATTCCGGACTCGTTATGTTCATTACGAGTTTGGGGTGATGTCCTTCGGGTTAAATAATGGTTCATTACGATTAGTTCATTGATTCTATATAAATAATGATTCTCTATTAAATCTCACTCTAAGAAAAACGACAAATACCAATAACTTAGTGCATGAAAAACCTGTATTTGGAAACCTAGACGGTGACAAAAACTTAAACGTGTGCATGAAACCTAAACGGTGACAAATATGAAATACCAACAGGCAAGTAAAAGGAAAGTCAAAGAAAAAAAACGTGTGCATGAAGTAAATAACTTGTGCTTGAAGAACACGGAAAAATCAAATCTATAAAATGATTATGAAAAGCTAGTTTTAAAATTTTACAATTTTTTTTGTTATAATTATTTAAAAGATTAATTTTACGAATTCGGATTTAGTTAAAATTATTTAAAAAGATGGGTTAACATTTTTACAAACTGAATATAAAATCAAAATTTTCAACTAATTTAACTCTAAAATAATAGAATCGTAGAATCAAATCATAACATGATTTTGTATTTGCTATTTTTTTTCAAAAAATTTAAGATATATATACATTTTCTTCCACCTTTATCTCACCTTCCATGTATCAAATAATAATACTAATCAAATAAAGATAAACCTCTTCTCCGTTGTCACAAACACCTATAAATACAGTAAAACTCCAAACCCTCTCATACCTACAAAACAACCATGACGGAGCACCACCGTCCCCATAAAAAGATCACGACGGAGCTTCCACCTGACATCCTATTCTGCAACATATTACCAAGACTGCCGGCTGAATCTCTACACCGTTTCAGGTACGTTTCCAATAAATGGCACTCAATCATAAGTTCGCCTGAATTTATCAATTCCCACCTCCACCACATCACCAAAAACCACCGTCAAAACCACCACAAACTTCTCCTCTTATCCACCACAACACCATGCAACGTCCACACCATCGATTGTGAATCACCTGAAAACGGTTTAAGTCCCCGTCGCCCTTTTCCAATCAAAGTTAGCCCTGAAAACATGACGATTATAACATCTTGTAATGGACTTGTTTGTGTAGGCATAACCAAACGTAACTACGATGATAACTACTCTGATCTAATATTATGGAATCCTCTAACTGGTGACTACAAGAAGTTGTCTAAATCCCATTCTCGTAAAGAATGCTACTACGGGTTGTATTACAGTGATTCATACGATGACTACAGACTTTTATGTGTAACCCTCCATCACCGTGCTTATATATACTCGTTGAAATCAGATTCATGGAGAAAGCTTGATTCTTACACTAGCCACTTGAAACGTATAACTTGTCTGATTTCAGAAAGTTGGGGGGAATGTATTGTACATAATGATAAAGTGTATTTTTTAAAACAAGGAAAGAGAAGAACTATGGGTCATCTGTCTAATTCGATTATAAGGTTTGACACGAAGACAGAGAAGTTCAGAAAGATAGTAATTCCATGTTTTGGAGTTGGAAGAAGAGATTGTTTGAATTTCACGCTTCTACATAATGATAGAGATATTTATTTGTGTGTGATATATAAAGAAAATTCTGTAGAGGTGAGTGCCAAGTTGTGGAGAATGGATGGAGATGGAGATTGGACAGAGATTATAAGCTATCCGATTTTGCCGAGTTTGTATTGCTTTCAGAAGCCTGTGCATTTGATGAGGAATGGGAATTGGATAACATATTGTTTGCATTCTGGGTGTCATGTCTACAAACTGGATCCGGAGAGACGTATTAATGAGATGTCATACTCAAATTATGATGATGAGTTTGATATTCCTCCAACAGGGAAATATATTGAGACTTTGGTGTCACCGAATTGGTAGATGAGACTTTTTTTAACTTTGTCATTGTTCTTGGTTTTTGCTGATTCATTGCTATGATCTAAAGTTATTCCCAAGATTATGCTAATATGTTCATCTATGTGACTTCTAAAAACTGAATTTTAGATCCATTATATTAGACAATTATAGTGTGATATCTATATAATTATATTAGAGGGTCATGAGTGTATATATATATATATATATATATATATATATATATATATATATATATATATATATATATATATATACTCTTATTGTAATCGTGGATACAATAACAATACAATTACTGATTACCAAAGTCAACTTGGTATCAGAGCCATACGGCATACCCTAAAAAAAAACACCGATAAAAAAAAAAAGTCGATCAAAGGCAAGCAGCGCCGATCAAGCCTCTCTTGCTTCTGTTGATCTGCACAGTGCCATCACCTATAGTGCCGCCAACTACAGGGCCGCCACCTACTACAGTAACATCCAATTTCTTGTCCACTCCTCAACCGGATCAACTACACTCTATTCAGCAACTTTTGTCACGACTTGGCCTTCAAGTTCAGCCCATTCATGCACAACCTGCTCAATCCTTTTACACCAACAGATCCGGAAATAACCGTGGTCGTGGACGTGACTCTAGACGTGGAAGAAGGAACTACAACAACATAAATCAAGGAGGAGGTAACCGTAATCAATTTAATTGGGCTTCTAATCAAAACACTGTTTTTGGCACATGCAACAGGTGTGGGGTTGGTCATATCCCGTCACAATGCCCTAACCGTGATCCAACTACTTTGAGAACGAGACAGCCACCTTCAACTAACTTTACAGACGACCGCTCACAAACGACATGACGACATCCTCTTGGCTTCCGAACACGGGCTCTAGCCATCATGTTGCACCGGACCTATCAACTTTCGATAATGCTGAGGCCTATTACGGTGATGATAATCTTCACGTTGGCAATGGTAAGGGTTTACCCATTCTACATATTAGTTCCTCACGATATTACTCGCCAAACAAAACCTTTAACCTTAAAGACATACTTCATGTTCTCGAAATAAAACAAAACCTTCTTTCTGTCCAAAAATTTTGTCTTGATAATCATGTGTACTTTGAGTTTCACTCATCTTTCTTTGTTGTGAAGGACAAGCTTACACACAGTATCCTTCTCATGGGTCCAAGTAATGGCGGTCTCTACTCCTTTCGTCTTCCTCAAACTCAACTTATTCACAAAATAGCGTTTTCTAGTAACTGTGCTTCATCCACAACATGGCACCAAAGACTTGGACATCCACATCCACAACTCTTGAAGTCCATGTTATCTAAATATCATTTAACTTTACACAATAAGTGTGCTAGTACTTTTTGTGATTCATGTCATGTTGGAAAATCGTCTAAACTTCATCTGTTGTGTGTTGATCATTATTCTAGCTTTATGTGGAATTTTCCATTAAAACTAAAATCTGACGTTTATATTATTTTTAAACGATTCCTTGCGATGGTTGAACGACAGTTTCAAACCAAACTAAAATCCGTCCAAACCGATTGGGGAGGCGAGTTTCGAAATCTCTCTCAGTTTTTCTCTCCTCTCGGCATTACTCATCGCCTTTCATGTCCGCATACCAGCGAACAAAATGGTTTTGTTGAACGAAGACATTGGCATGTTGTCGAAACCGGTCTTACTCTACTTGCTCAATCCAATGTTCCTCAACGGTTTTGGCATTTTGCTTTTGACACCGCAGTATATCTTATTAACCGAATGTCGTCCCGAACAAACTCCAACACCTCACCCTTTGAACATGTGTTCAAACATAAACCTGATTTTTCCTTCTTCGGGTTTTTGGATGTCAGTGCTTTCCTCATCTCCGTGCATACAACAAACACAAAATGGATTTTCGTTCTACACCCTGTGTGTTTCTTGGTTACAGCACTGCTCATCACGGCTATCGGTGTTTAGACCCACAATTTGATCGCATCTATGTGGCACGTCATGTTCGATTTAATGAGCAATCCTTACCTTTTTACAAACCTCCTACAATCACTCCGACTACAACCACTACAAATCCCTACATCTCAATTTATCCAAACCCTATCTTACCACCCACTGTCTCACCCTCCACAACACCTATTGTACAATCTGACTCACGGGATACGACACCTACCACTACCTCCCTTCATGAACATCCCATAAACAAACCACCTCTCATGCACACATATCACCGTCGTTCCCAAAACACCAATCAACCACCTCCGCTTATACCTACTCCTCCTTCTAATACCGAACAACCTACACGTACTCGACCCGCCAACCTACGCCCCAATCCCAAACCAACCAAACCTTATGGTGCCACCTCCTACCATACCCAATACCATTCACCTGACACCGAACCAGCAACCTTTACCATTGCTAACAGGGATCCTAAGTAGCGTAGTGTCATGGAAGAAGAGTATTCAGCCCTGATGCGGAATGCTACCTGGACGTTAGTGCCACGTGTTCCAAATTCCAACGTAGTTGATTGTAAATGGGTCTACAAATTAAAAAGGGGCCAAACAAGGGCGATTAAACGTTACAAGGCACGACTAGTAACAAAAGGGTTTTGGAAACAACCGGGCATTGATTATTAGGAGACATTCAGTCCCGTAGTAAAATCGACAACTATTCGTGTTGTTCTATCTCTAGTCGTAACACAGAAATGGTCCCTAAGGCAACTCAATGTACAAAATGCCTTCTTGCACGGTAATCTCACCGAGACAGTTTATTTGCAACAACCACCTGGGTTTGTTAACTCGGCCAAACCAGATCATGTTTGCTTGCTTCACAAATCCTTATATGGTTTAAAGCAAGCCCCTAGAGCGTGGTTCCACCGTCTATCTACAACTCTTCCTTCCCTTGGCTTTAAGGGTTCCAAGACGGATCCTTCCTTGTTTATTTACTCCCATCTAGGCACACTTTTATACATGCTTGTCTATGTTGATGACATTATTTTGACAGGAAACAACTCACAGGCTATTAATAAAGTCTGTCAGTTTATGCACTCCCCCACTGAGAATCATTGGTCAGCAGTCAAAAGAATTCTTCGTTACTTACAGGGCACCGCTGACTATGGTTTGTGTCTTAAGCATGATTTGAGCACCATCCTCCATGCCTACATTGATTCAATTTACAACTCACTGACTGGCTTCTCTGATGCTGACTGGGTTGGTTGCCTAGACGACCGTCGATTCACTGGGGGATATGTTATCTACCTAGGTTCCAATCTAGTATCATGGTCTACTCGAAAACAAAAGACTGTATCTCGGTCGTCAACAGAGTCTGAATACAAGACCCTAGCCGATACCGTTGCTGAACTCACATGGCTCGAAACTCTATTATGCGAACTTCAAGTCCCTGTTAAGTCGATTCCTATGTTGTGGTGCGATAATCTTGGTGTTACGTATCTTTCAGCTAATCTGGTCTTTCATGCGCGTACAAAACATTGGCCCAACGGAAGCTTTCAGTTCAGTTTATATCTACTGATGATCAGATTGCAGATGTGTTCACCAAGTCGCTGCCCTCACAACGGTTTCTCTCTTTACGATCCAAGCTATAGGTCGCTCCCCGGCCTTAGCTTGCATGGGAATATTAGACAATTAAAGTGTGATATGTATATAATTATATTAGAGGGTCATGAGTGTAAATATATCTCTTATATATATATACTCTTATTGTAATCATGGATATAATAACAATACAATTACTGATTACCAAAGTCAACTCATTAGATCCTTTTTATTTTGTACACTATAATATGGGCTGAATGTAACATATAGCAATATGTTACTGTTATAGCATCCTACTTCCATTTCTTTCTAATTCTGTTAAGGAATTATACTTGCAATATTTTTTCTTAATAAGTCATTGTACTTTGTAAAATCTACCCAATACAGCATTGTATTTTCATGTTTTTTTTTCTAATTAAGAAATTGTACCCTGAAAATACTTACACCATTATAGATTGATGTGTAATTGGAAAATATTGTTATTAGTGGATAGACTTTTCAGAATACAAAGTTGTAATAAGAATAAACGACGAATGCTATAATAAACAAACTAATAGAATTGTGTTGGTATTTCTTGGGATTTTTTTTGGAGACAACATATCGTCGAGATAGTTTAGTTGCTACTTCTTTTAAGAAGTAAAGAAACCTTATAAATTATGTACCAACGACTTGTCGTCGCCATAGTCACTATACTTAATATATTTAGATCCTCTCTTTTGTTTATTATCTTTAGTTTTTTCATACACATACATTTTAAAACAATAAATTTAATAACAAAAACATTAAAATATCATACACACTCGGTTCAAACATATACAAATTTCATACAAGTGGTTTACCAAAATATTTAAAATATCTTAGGAAACTGTTTAAAAGTTTCATACAATTTAACCAACACTTTCATCATTTTCTTCATTGACCCGATTGTTTGGAGCTTGTAGTTGTGAGGGATCAAAATGAAATTGAAATGGTAATAGGGGTTGGGAGTTTGGATTTTGATACAACATCATTTGTTGCATTTGTTGCATTTGTTGAGTTAATTGTTGAGTTAATGTATTGAAGTTTGCAATATTTGCTGAAGTCCTCGGCGTGTAATAAGGTGATACATGTTTCAGTTAGTGGCGAGTCTAGAATAGAAAACCATATGGTTCACTAATTTTTTTATTGAAAATTTTCTATACAAATTCAAAGATTTTATTGGTCAAATAGGTCCTAAATTTTTTCTAAGGTAGGTCACAAAAAAAATTCCATGAAAATTTTATATAAATTCAAAAAATTAGGTGGGTCATTGGACCCACCTTACTTATGCATAGCCTCACCATTGCCTAAGAACACCCCATGTATGACTACATCTTTCTCCAAATGCGCGTATGAGGATTTCTACCTTACCAATTGACGATTCATCACCATATCACGTTCGAGAAATGCATCAAATTTCCTTTGTAAACTAGTTCCTTCTTTGCCTATATTTTGTTCAATATGTATTTTGCTCTTGCATAACATCATCTATTGCATCAAACATCTCATGTGTTGATGTACTACGTTTTCTACGAGCCGAAATGTTGTCTAAATCCGAAGCAGGATATTCCTCATCGTGATAAATCCATGTCTGATATGATTATAGAAACTCACGGTCATGTATGTGGGCATAAACCGTAGACGTATTCACACAATCTTTACATGGGCAACACACTTTGCCTTCATCGTCAACATGTCCTTAGCAATCTCTATAAAGCTATTAAGACCTTTCAAGAATTCTGGAGACCTCTGATTTAGCAATTTAATCCAACACTTACCAATTGTCACAATTATTTCATTATTACAATTAGATTGTATCTAATTTTCAATAGCTAAATATAAACAAATTAAGACCTTTCAAGAATTCTGGAGACCTCTGATTTAGCAATTTAATCCAACACTTACCAATTGTCACAATTATTTCATTATTACAATTAGATTGTATGCACAATAAATACATGACTAATTTGTTTATATTTAGCTATTGAAAATTAGATTGCATTTGGTCTTTTAAATTTAGACCGTGTGATGTTTTTATATGACTGCATGTGTAAGACGCCGAGTAGATGTATGTATAGTATAAACCTATTTTTTTTTTATTTAAAGTTGGCAACCTAGCCTATTTTTTTAATATTTTGTCTCATATATGAATAATATTAAAAGACTAGGTATTTAAGAAAAATAATTACATGATTTTCCCTTAATTCCTCAATATGCGTTTTGAAACCCAAACTCGTAGGAATAAAGACACATGCGTAGTGATTTTTCCTTGAATATCATAAATGAGACAAAGTATTCAAAAAGAGTCCCAAAATAGGGATTGTTCGAAATAACTAAGGTTTATGCAATATACATGTTTTAAATTTTATATTCCAAAAATAATTGTTGATTTTTTATTTTATTCTAAGATTTATCGTATTTAATTTTATTTAAATCATTAACATGAACGCAATTCGACAAAACACACAATATGCAAACAAACGTTAAACTTTTTACAAATATGATTCATATAATCTAAGTTGGTGATAAATCCAGATCGATATATATACATTAGTCTCGTTAAAATTGTTAAAATAACAGTTATATAACTTTTCCCACTAGATTTGAACCCATGGCATTTATATGAAAACACTGGTTAACTTCTTATAATGCATGTTTCACTAACTTGTACAATAGTTACTATGGTGGTATACCTTATGTGGATGAATCAATTATTTAAGATGATGAATCAATTCCCTATCCATAAATGCCACCAACTTAAGTTAGAAACAAAACATCATGCTCAAATGTTAAAGAAGGTTGAACTTGTTTGAATATACAATAGCAGAAAATAAGCTTTGAAACACAATGTAACACAGCAGGCTGAGGGGACAGAATACAGATGTAATGCACTAAAAATTGATGCTTAACTAAACCTAATTGAAGAACATTATCATACAGAGTACTTATAACATAAGATAGAATCTGACAACTCTTTCCAATTTGTGCTCAAGAATTGCTGCAAGAACTGATCTAGTTCGACATGTACTATTTCAAGCAAAAAGAAAGAAAGAAAGAATTACCTCCCTTCTGTGCAAAGAGGGGAGGATAATTCTAACTTTTAGTCAAAAGTGGTGACTGGTTTAAAGCATACGGTTTTATTAGGGGTAGTTTAGTATTTTGCTTAGAGTATGAATAAGTAAATAGCCATGTGGGCACTAGAGATTTAGTAGGGAGTCTTTTTAGGATAAATAGTTGAAATTTATGTTATTTAAAGTACTCTTGTAATCGTTGATAGATGAATATAGAAAAACAGAAAGTTAGTCCCAAACACTTCTGTTTCGTTTCTTATCTTTTGACAGCAATTGTGTGCTGTGTTTTGGCAACCATTTGTTCCTACAAATACAACCCGGAGCCAACGAAAATCAAGCAAATCAGAAGTTCAAACACTAAAAATCACAATAAAAGAAGAATTAGTATCGAGGGGAGAAGAAGAAACACACACAAAAAAATAAAAAATTTGTCAATACCTTCGATCCAGAGAGAGCAAATGTGTTCTTTGGAGAAATGGAGAAAATGGTAGGCCTGACAATCGGGTTGAGTTCGGGTTGGCAGGTCAGAAAACATAAACCCAACCCAAGCCATATAATATATGGGTTGGCGGGTCACGGGTTGGTGGGTTGGAAACTTCAACCCAACCCAACCTATATAACCCGTTTAAGTATATGGGTTCGCGGGTTCACAAGTAAATGGGTCGAACCCAACCCACATAACCCGTTTGATAAATAAGCAATGCATTTTTAAAAATGAGGTTTTTTCAACATAAAATCATAAAGTGATTAAACTAATTAACATCCAAATAAAATTGAAAAATAAAAACATTCATACAAAATGAATGTGTTCTTTGTTCATGACTCGTGAATATCTAAAAATGACATGTTTTTTTTTTCTTTTTTGATTAGGCCAACGCAAACGGGAACTAACCACATACGAATACGGAAGGAAATCTGATTTCACTAATATTTAAATTTATCTATTTTTTTATAAATGTAATATATATATATATATATATATATATATATATATATATATATATATATATATATATATATATCCGGTAAGAAATTTTTTTTGGTAGGAAGGTAAGAAGTTTTTTTTCTACATATTTTTTTGACGAACAAAATAAATGAATCACTAGATGATTCATTTGTAAGATGATTCATAAGAAAAAATTCCCAAAAAAACATCTTTATGATTCATTTTTAAGTAAATTAAGAAAAAAATCACTTTTATGACAATTTTAGTGAATAACAACAAAATCATTGTATAAATGAATCAAGATGTTTTTTTAAGAATTTTTTCTTGTGAATCATCTTACAATTGAATCATCTAATGATTCATTTTGTTTGTTCGTGAAAAAAATATGTAGAAAAAGAACTTCTTACCTTCCTACCAAAAATTTTCTTCTTATTTGATTTTGACTCTATATATATATATATATATATATATATATATATATATATATATATATATATATATATATATATATATATATAGGTTGGCGGGTTGACCCACGAACCCAAACAGATAACCCAACCCAACCCATGAAATAAACGGGTTGACGGGTCAAAAATCTCAACCCAAACCCGTCTATTTTTGGGTTGGGTCAGTGTCGAGTTACGGGTTTGGTCGAGAGTTGTCGCCCCTATAAAATTGCGATGGGGGCCGAGTCTGCTGATTTAATTAGGGCAGAAGGGTATGGCTACGACATGTTAATTTTTGAATTTTTCGAATTTTGACTTCTTTGAACTTTGACTATTTATTGACTCTGACCTACTTTATCTAGACACACCGTCCCCATAAAAAGATCACAACGGAGCTTCCACCTGACATCCTACCAAGGTTGTCGGGTGAATCTCTACACCGTTTCAGGTACGTCTCCAATGGCAATCTTTCATAAGTTCGCCTGAGTTTATCAACTTCTACCTCCACCACGTCACCAACGACCACCATCCTTTTATCTACCACAACACCATTCAACGTTCACAACTTCGATTGTGAATCACCTGAAAACAAAACAGTGCAAGTCTGTCTCCCTTTTACATTCAAAGTTATCACGATTATAACATCTTGTATTGGACTTGTTTGTGTAGGCATAACCAAGCGTAACTACGACAATAAATACTCTAATCTCATCCTCAACTTATGATGATGCGTTTGATATTCTTCCAAGAGGGAAATATATTGAGACTTTGGTGTCACCAAATCGCTAGATGACGTAATATAACATATTTAGCCTCGTCAGACTTTTTTTTTTTTTTTTTTTTGCTGATTCATTTTGTTTGCTCTGCTATGATCATGTATGTGAGTAGTACTTGGGTTGTTTGCTGATTCATCCTACGATCTAATTTATTTCCAGGATTATATATGCTAATATGTTCATGTATGTGAATATTACTTGGGTTGTTGGCAATGTGCATATATTGGGAAATATAACACACAATTTTAGTTTCACTGTTACAACACTAACCAAACATATATACATAATTTAATTACACCAACGGAAGATAGGTTGATGCAGCCTTCCATTACTTGTGGGCCAAACTAGGAGTGTCCCTCAAGCTCTAGTTGTGAAGTTAGCCATGAGGAGACTTCATCCATCTCTTCTGGGATTATATAATGACCCAGCCTACATACACCATAAATCAACATACATTTTATATTTCTGTAAAAAATTTCAATAATAAATATAAAAGTAATGACAAAATGGTTATTTTACATGGGCTCAATGATTTAAAATTTAGGGACTAGTAGCGTGACAAATATACTTTTCGGGGATAAAATAGGTAATTTACCCTGTTTTTTTTTAGTTTTTAGAAAGAAGAAGCTCAAAGCGATTGAAATTGAAAGAAAAGTGACATACGAGTGGAATGACTTAAAAGTCAAGTTTTCAAATCCAGCTGAAGTTAGTTTCTCTGCAGACTTCTCACCATAGCGAAACCAAACCACTTCATCACCTACCAAGATATCATACAAGAATTTTTTTTTTAAAAACTATTTATAGCATTGTACTTTCAAGTTTTTTTCTGATTAAGAAATTATACTTTGAAAATACTACAGAGTTATAGATTAATGTGTAATTGGAAGATATAGCTATTAGTAGGTAGAATTTTCAACGCAGAAAGATGTAATAAGAAGAAATGAAAGTAGGATGCTGTAATAAACTTTTTTTTTTTCGTTTAACCTTTTAAATATTCATCAAAAAATTAATGAATTGTCTAAAACTATATATCTGTGGCTTGGTTATGGTTACCTCTGCCATGACAGAGCAAAATGGGCACGGATGCAGCTGGGCCTTCAACCTCGTTACTTGGATGGCTAGCAAAGAAAAAAAAAGATATTAGAATTTTTTTTTTTTTTGGTATGTCAAAAATAATAAAAACGAAAGATAAGTGGTTATGTTATTGTACTTTGCACATGGAAGCCAACCGCTAAGGCCGACAACTGCCGCCAGATGGGCGGAGTAACGGGTGCCATTTCCTAATTTTCCACGGGCAAAGCACCTTGCAGAATATATTGCAGTTGCTGCACCCATGCTAAACCCTCCTACACCAAGTTTGACTACATAGTTGAAGAAAATCACATGAGAAAAGAAAACAAGAAAATAGCAGCATTGTAGCGTTATTTTTTCTTATTAGGACATTGTATTTTCAAAAATACTACACAACTATAGTCTATAGTCTATAGCAGTGAAAATTGTTTTGTATTTGAATGACAGTGTGATATAGGGTAAACTTTTCAAACTATAAGACTGTAGTAAGATGTTATAATAATCGGAGGTTTATAATTATATAATCACCCTTTAATCTTGGTGATGTTTTGTACAAAGATATTTATAGGTGTAAAATTATAAGTAAATGGAAGATATACAAAAGGCTATCTACAATTAATTGAGACAATTGAGGATTAATCATCTATCCTTGCCATGCTTATTGGATTTTATAACAATCCACACTAGAAGTTTGGGCTAGCGGTTTGGAAAATCTACAAGAGGAAAAGGATCGAGAGAATCAATGAGGGACACGTGTATGGTAACGTGAGAGGAAGGTTGTTATGCATGTGGAATGAAAATGATATTTAGTTTGTTGTGAAGAGTGAGATATTCATGTTTCTTCATTGTTAGCTAGATTTGGAATCAGTAGTATTTGCTTTTAGGCGAAGAGAAACCATTTGGCTACGGTTCTCTTTTGTAACCGTTTAGATTATGTAGTCTTTTATATTAATATCACTAAAACCAATTCATTGCTTCTCTTGTGTCAATTTTGTATTTTAATCGGAAAGCTCTATTTTGGAATTATAACAATTTGGTTTCATTGTAGTGAAATAATAATGGCCACAGAATCCCAAGTTGGAACCTGATTACGAACATGAATGGGCGTTGATGATAAAAAAAAGTAGAGCCAAGTGAATCAGGTTCAGTAAACACTTTGAAACAAATTCTAAACGAGCTTCCAAAATCTGGTGAGTTCTCAAAAACAATTGGTCAAACAACAGCAGAGGCTGAAACATCACAATTGTAGGAGAATACGACTCTAATAAGGCATCATTAATTCCTTCTGCTATCTGGAACAACATCTCCCATGATTTCATCAAGAGTTGCCCAAGTCCCACGATTACATTTGCGTCGGTTGTCTAAATTTTGTCACACCATCCATCTAACACACCCACTCACTCGACGTTCATTGGTTGGAATCTTCTTAAAAGATGCATTTGTTTGCATAGTATCCCAAAACAGTGTTCAACAATCATGACATCTTATTCCTCAACTACTTTTGGAAGGAAATATTCCCCTTCAAGGAAACAAACTCCATTTTAGTGTTTCTTATCATCTGGAAACTGACGGCCAAATAAAGGAAGTAAACCGATGCCTCGCAACATATCTTTGTTGTTTTTTGCGGAACAACCAAATCGTGATCATCTTGGCTTCCATGGGACGAATTCTGGTGCAACACCTCTTAACATATGTCTACTAATATTTAGTTAGTTGTAGAAAGTAAGTGTTAGTATGTTAGCATCTAAGGTTTTGGCCCAAGCCCTTAGGGTTTACGTTAGGCCAAGGGCCTCTTATGTTTCCCTATTTATATAAGGTTTAACCCTCACTATTAATCAAACAATCTTTTATCTTACATGATATCAGAGTTCTAGGTTAAAACCCTACTATTACTAACCACAACCCGCAACCGCCGCCCTCCATCTACGACGACCTTCTTTAATAGTCATCGTAGGTGCCTTAATTAGGTTCAATATTTTTCCCTTTAGTCTTTCTCCTCCAAAATGATAATACAATTGTCGACCCAAAGAAGAGCTCCTTCCTTGGTTTCTTCTATTGCCTCGTTTACTTCTGCCTTCTCATCGTATGGCCCCTGCCTCTAAGCCTTCTATCACCTCCTCGGATGGCCCTTGCTTCCGAGCCTTTTGTCTCCACCTCGGATGTCCCCTCTTATTGGCTTGCCTGATGTTGTTGTTGCCTCCCTCCATGTAACACCCAATTTGTGGTATGTATTTTCACCCATTAAAAATAAGATTTATAGTTGGCCACGACGTGGTGAAGAGGTTACCACGACGTGGCAATCTTGCATGAAACGTGTGTCTAATTAAGATCCCACGACGTGACAAGATGGTTGTCACGACGTGGGGGCAGCTGATGAGCAAAACCCTAATTTCCGGGTTTAGACCCTATTTAAAGGAAGTGATGGCTAGGGTTTCCTCCACTATCAGCCTCCATTGCCTCCTAAATGTACCCTTGAGCAAACCCTAGCCTCCTTGAAGCTTTTAGAGCTCATTTTGCAAGTTTTTGTGTTTTTGAAGGAAAAAAAAAGGAGTTTGGTCCATAGATCCAACAAGCAATCCATCCTCATCCCTAGTGTGCATCTTCAGGACTTCTTGTAAGTCCCCAAGCTTTCATCTTTTTGATGATCTCTTCTTAAAATCTAGGTTTTATGTCATGTTTTGCTTCATAAGTGAAGTTGGAATGGTTAGAAGAAATAAAGTTTGCAACTTTATGGCTTTTCATTGTCCCTAGAGCAATATACCTTGTGGATCTAGAGTTTGAAGGAGTGTTGGGAGTTTTGCATGAAGATGGATCATCTTCTTTACCTTTTGACCTAGAAAAGTGGAAGACATGCATGAGGTCATGCATGCCTCATGCATGTCTATAAAGATTGGATTTTTATGGACCATTAGGGTCCCTAGAAGCTTTATGGAGAGTATGGTTTAAGGGCTTAATGGATTAAAGACAAAATCCATTAAGTTGTCCATGCACAGAACCCACGACGTGACGGGCTGGCTGTCATGGTGTGGGAAAATGGAAGGAGTCGCGATTGTTTTGGATGGACTCTCTCACGACGTGGTGGAAGGTTTGCCACGGCGTGGAGATGGTTTTGTACGCGACTGACCGTGACTGAGTCGTGATCGGGACTGAATCCTTTGGCCACGACGTGACCTTAGGAAGGCCACAACGTGAAGATCAATTGACCGTTGACATTTTGAACCTGGTTGACTTTTGGTCAAATTGCGAGTTTTAGAGTGAGGTCTAAGGTTTGACCTTGGGTGTTTCGATAGGTGGGTTGTAGCACCTATTTCTGGACTTTTCGAGTTGTGATTGATCGATTGCGAGTGTGAGGTGAGTCTTCTCACTATACTATGAAGGATGCTAGTTGTCTTTGTGATACTTGCATGAAAGACTATGGGGGTAGTCGATGGCAATTGCATGAAAGACCATGGGAGTGGCCCATGGCAATTCTATGTAAGACCATGGGGGTAGCCATGGCACTTATATGTAAGACCGAAATTTGGCCATCGGCATTGCAAGGAAAAGCCATAGGAAGTAACCCATGGAACTTGGATGTAAAACCTTGGGGGTAGCCCATGGCATTTTAGGGAAAGACCATGGGGAAGCCCATGACATTTTACAGTAAGGTAGATATGCTTCTCCATTGTTAGCTAGAATTGGATTCAACAATATTTGCCAGTGGAGAAAGAAACCATTTGGTTAGGGTTCTCTTCTTTAATATTTTATTTAGTTCCACTTCAATCAATTACGTTCTCCTCTCATTTCAATCATGCATTAATCCAAAAGCTCTGTTTTGGAATTGTAACACAAGATCCAAAAAAAACATCGAGTTTTCGAGCTTGTCTACCCGTTTCACCAATTGCGGACATTTGATTATAAAAGCTTTTAAATTTTGTGTCGTATGTTGAAATAGTATCAATCTCCTTTTGAAGCAAATGCAAATCATTCTTGAGGTGCATAGCTTAATCCAAGGAGTTGTGGTGATAGACAGCTACTAAGCTATGTTTGACACGCTAGTTGAAAAGATAGCTTTTAGCTTATAAGCTAACTTATCAATAAGCTATCTCAAGCAGCTTATCAAAAAGCTAGTTTAATTATAAACTACAGTAAGCTACTTTTGTGGGCTCACCAAACACCAAATTGCAATAAGCTCAAAAAAATCAACTAGCATATGCGCGCCAAACAGAGTCTAATGCAACAAAACATCACAATACGTAATGAGACCGAGGATCTCAGCTATCATTTCCTTAGAAAGCGAGGACCGAAAGATCACAAGAAGTTGACCATTGGCATGCCAAGTAACAAAACAAATTTTGGTTTGGGTTGTCTTCCCATCTCCATCATGAAGCACAACGGAAGGTGGGGGCTAGCATTGTTAATCTTACCAAGGTCCAAGAAGGTTTTTATATGAGAGATAAAAGGAACCACTTAACTTCGCCAAAGAATGTAATTATCATAGGCTAACTTAGTAGTTATCATATAGATGAGTGTGGAGGTTGATGCCATGGCAATGAAACAAGGAGGCCGGAGGTTGGTAGTTTACGGTTAGAGAAGGAACCCATTTGATAGCATATAAGGTTTCTACAATCACCTATTAATCGTGGTGATGATTGCATTGAGATAGATTTTTATAGATGTAAATAACACAGATGATAATCACAAGTAAAAGGAAGATTACAAAAACCTACATATAGTTAAGGAGCTAAATGAGGATCATGCATAATCATGCCATGCTTATCGGATATGCTAACATAAACAAATTACTGCAAGTACTCTGCTTAATTTTTGTACCCAAGAGACAAATAGAAACTTACTGTTTGGAGGCTCATTGGACAGCAAGCTCAAAACATGTGCTGCTGAAGCATCCATTCCCTCTACATCTTGAATTGCATCTTCAGAGATGTCAGTGACATCAAACCCTAACATCCATAAGCCTTGAACCTTAGTTTTGGTAATTAAATGGTAATAAGTTTTGTGTTAGAGCAAATAGGACACCTAGAGTTTCAGAATGTTGTAAAAACAAAGGTAGCTTCAATTTTTTTTTACCTTTGCAATTGCATACACTCTTACTTTCCAGCCTGTGAGGATGTCACCATGTTAGTAAATAATACTACCTCTGTTTTCGGAATAAATACAACGTATCTTTTCTAAATTTCACTTTTACACTACAAAAAACTAAAAAACAGTTTAAGGGCATGCATGTGCACACCCTATAGTTTAATAGAAAAAATATATGATTGTTAGTCAAATGTTGATCAATGGACCAGAAACCAAGTCTATCCATATAATTTTGTCATAATTACTAATGGTAAAAAAGTAGTTCTGGATTGAAAATTTGTAGAAAAAATAGAACGTTGCATTTAATTTGGAATAAGTGAAGTATTGATTATTATTGAGTAACAAAATAATGTTTGCAAAGCATAAAAATAACATACATGCAGTTGTAGAAAGTCCACCAAATAAAGTTAATGGTTTGAACAGGAGAAGTAGGGCATATCCATTTGATCTGCATCATATATGTAATGTATTAAACCAAGTCATGATATCAAATCAATCTTATAAAATAAACATTTATTGCTCATTCATTCATTTTCATTTTTCATTTTGTGGGTCCCGCAGACCCACATAACAAAAATGTTACATGAACACATGAATAATGGGCCTTGTTATTTAAGAAATAAACCTGTGCTTACATTTGGAAGAGGAAGGGTCTCCAAGATTTGGGACCAACTGCAGGGAAAAAAAGATGTAAAACAGAACATGGATCTTACCATTTACTAATAATCTTGAATTAGCAATTGAATAAACCTGTAACACAAAGTTATTAGATAGTTACTTAAAATGCTACTAATCACTTAAATCAGTACTTATCATGTTAGAAGAAAGCAAACATTTTGTTTTTGGCACTTAAGTTCTATTTTGTAAAAGCTATTATATTTATCCCTAAGAAACCTATAAAAGCTATTACTCAAAGCATGTTACATGACAATAATGTTACAACCAAATAAAAGAAAAGATATGCAGATGATGAGATGTTACCTTAAACCATCATCACCAAGGCCATGCAACCAAACAATGGTTGCCTGGTGTTTGCCTTTAGGTTCCAAAACATACGTTGGCCCAAACTTAAATACCCTTCTTGCAGTTATACCACCTTCAAATTAAGGGAATATCATGAACAACAATATAGGGAAGAAAATAGGTTACTAAAAGACTAACCAGAAGAATCCAAAACAGGGTCAATTGAAGTCATGTTGAAAATGACAGAGATGCAGCCAGTTACAGCAGCCACAGAGAAGAAAACCTGCGATGAAGAAATCCCACACGATGGCTTCATCTATAATTAAAACCAGTATATAATATCTTCATCTGTAAGTAAATCCGGTATATAATATATGAAGCAAACAGTTCTGTGTTGTTTTTACCTTTTTTTCCTAATGAATCACAGTTTTCAATTGCCAAATCTCGTATCCTGGAACCCATTAGAATTGAAATTTCCATGGCTAAACACGATACTACAACCCTGTTAGAGATATGATTTGACACTTGTGAAGCGTGATCAAAAGAATCGGTCCAAAATTTGTGGTATCTATTTACACTTAAACCGGAAACCAGGTACCACGTCAAACTATACATAAAGTTTTTTTTTATCTCTGAATGATTGCATCTGTAAACTGTTTACAGAGGAACTCTAATTTCAAAAGAGCTGGTTTCAATACCTCAAATCCTATTAGGCTCTATTAATCCAGTAAGTGAACAACTGTAAATAAAAATATCGAACAATACGACTATCGCAGAAATCGAGTATAAATCAGAATTATATTAAAAAAAGAACTGGAAGATTTTCAGACGAGTAAGTACCTTAATTAAGATGATAACACCTCTTCTTCTACTGTGTGTGTTTTGTAATATCGACGTTGTTATGCAGGTTAGGGGAATTTCTGCTACAAACGAG